TCAATTGAGTGTTGAGAATCTGGGAGCACGCGTTCCGATCAGCCATATCTTGCCCAGAAGTCGAAAAGAAGCCATTTTTTGAGAATATCTTGACGATGGATAAGAAGTGGATTCACTTTGATAATACTTCTCGAAAAAGACAATGGCTGAGCAAAGGTCAAGCGCCAATTCCAACTCCAAAGCCGGATTATCATGGGCGCAAAGTGATGTTGTCTTGCTGGTGGAATACAATGGACTTGTTCATTTTGAATTATTAGAGCCCGGAAAAACAGTCGATTCATCTTATTTTATTCAACAACTCAAGAAGGTTGACGAAATTTTGCGTGAAAAAGGCCTAAATCCCTCAACTATCAACTTTCTCCGTGATAATGCTCCAGCTCACACGGCAAAAACCTCTTGTAAGGAACTAGAGAAGCTAGGATGGAAGGTCTTACCACATGCGCCGTATAGTCCAGACTTAGCACCCTCCGATTTTCATCTTTTCAGATCGATGCAACATTCCCTTGAGAATTGCCAGTTTAAGAATGCAAAAGAAGTCGAAAATTGGGTGACCAACTACTTTGCATCACAGAATCAAGCGTTCTTTGAGAAGGGGATCCGCAATCTGTAGCAACGTTGGAGGGATGTCATAGATAATAATGGTGCTTATTGTTTTAAATAAATTGTTATCAAAAAAAATTTTGGATGACTTTAAAAAAAAAAAACGAAATTTCATTTGCACCAACCTAGTAAAGTAAGTTTCTTATACTGGTAATAACTCGTGCGATTACAGAGCTCACAAAAATGGTGATAACTCAAAAACTAAAGAAGCTATTTAAAAATGGTAGTAAGCCTTAGATTCTGTAAAAATCTTGTGTTTTAAAAAAAGAAATGGAAAAATTTCTGTCTGAGATAATAGAATCTAATCTTTTCCGCTGGGTACCTCTACGCGGATTTGTACACTTTTGGTGGATACATGTTCAGTTCAAAGCTTTATGTTTATATGGCATTCGGTGATTGGTTTGGTAGATGTCGAATGTCGAATGCCTTTTTAGAAGAAAAGATTTTACTTTTCAGGAATTTTTAGACTCAAATTCATAAAAATCTTGTAACACAGCAAAGACTCGGATTCTGTTTAGTTTGGATTTACCAGCACGACTACTATTTGTTCGCTAGCTTTTCGGTTTTCGCTCTAATTGTTGATTTGGCCACAATGAGAAAACTTCGAAAAGTGATGCTCGAAGCGACAGCTGAGAACTTGGTAGAGTTTTTTTGTTCTGAAACCTTAAAACTCTAGCAGAGAAGCGTCACCGATGTTCAACAAAAGCGCTCGGCTTGACTCGGTGTTCAAGTGAGCAGAAAACAAAGCAAATCGACCTGAATTCCCTACAATTCTAATTCGAGAAAAGCAGTGTTTAGTAAAAAAAAGCTTAGACTTTTAACCCACTAAAGAATCCTCTAAATGAGACTCTCAGAAAATTTCTTTTTTTGGTGATCCGTAGAAATGCCCATTGGATTACTCAGTCTGGAGTTTTCTTGAAGCCAGCACATGTGCAAAAGCACATAAAAATATCGAAAGTTTGAAGAAGGTGCTCAGCAAAGCCTGTGATACCTTCACGATGCCTATTTACCGCCACGGTCAACGCGCTTACTGTTATTGCCATTGTTAATGTTATATAAGTTAATAACCCGGTTATGTTGTCAATCGTTATATCTTGGTCAACGCGTTTCCTGAACGTTTGCAGGCCTGTTCGAATGCTTTACGCAAGCTGATCATTTGCACAGCGGAATTCTATTGGAGAATAGGGAAAAGAATAACTAGGAGGCAACAATAATTCACGTAAATATTGTAATAGTACCCCAATCTCCATAATGATTTGCGCGGAGTGTTGGTGTAGTTCAGCTTTGAAATCGAGTTTTTCCTGACACTGGTTTATGTTAATGCAAAAGCATGAATCAAAATATTCCTGAATTTCAGCGCTATTTTTTGATACCGAAGACGTATTTTTTGAAAGTGGACGCGCTTTGTGAAAAATGAAATACTAGAAACTTTTTATGACCACGCTGACTGCACGAGGGGGCTTTGCAATGGTCGGGAAGCAGTATTTACGGTGGATGTTATTTTTCCGGATGGTTTTCGCTCAGCACAGAGCCATAGATATACAACACGTATCCGGTGCGCCATTGAGTCGATCAAATGCGGGATAGCGAGTTCATATACTGTAACTTTTCTCTAGTTTTGTAATTTTTTTCCTTTCTCACGTTGTAAAGTGAGCCAGCACAAGCCTCATCAAAACTGCACGAGGACATTATTATTGGTGCCATACACTCAGAGTCCGAACAGCCTTTGGTCTCGGCCGTCTAAATACAAAAATTTGATCTTAAACTTTAGGCTTTTTAGAGCTTTCTCTGTAGATTGTAAAGAGAAAATATATCATTTGTTTATTTCTTTAGAATTTACATGCGTGTAAGTTCCATTTATTTTTTCCTGGTTACGAACGAAAATCTTAATTCTGAAAAGGAGTTCCTCTTGAGCCAGCAATCGGTTTGCCACTTGTCGAAAGAGATTAATGAGGGTAACATTGTATAATAGTACCCAACCGGCGTAATGATTTGGTGCGGAGTGTTGCGGGGTCTAGTTTTGGACGCGTTTTTCGGGACACTGGTTTATGCTATCGGTGTTTTTTTAGGCATCAAAAAATAGTCTCTGGACTCCAGCTATTTTTTGATATCAGCGGATGCTTTTTTTGAAAGCACGAGTGTTTTGCAAAAAATGAACATTGTAAAAACTTTGGCGACTACGCGACTGTACGAGGGCGGTGGGGGTACTATTACAGCATTTACGATAGGTAAAATTATTTAAAAGTGAAACTTGAACGGCATTGTCTCCCATTGAGAGCACACTGCGGTGTTTCCAGCGTGTAAATAAGCAAAAGAGGCAAAGAAGTAAAGCGAAAGAAAGTCCCATTGTAATTAAAAGTGTTGTAACGCATAATTTTGTTTCCTTTGTAGGGTGGAATCTTTATCGGGGAATAGCGGAACGCCCAAAATCTTCGTAAAAGTTCTGAAAAGAGAATTCCATTGGGTTCTCTGGGCATCTAAAGCTTTTTATGAGCAGTTTATTGAAGTTATAAATGTATGATTTTTTTTGTTTTGGACTAAAAAATGTGTTATGCCTGAATAAAATTTGAAAATCATGAAAATAGGGCATATTAAAAACATGAAATATAAATTGATTCTTTATAGTTGGTTTTGTGTTTGAACTAAGCCTAGTTTCTAGTTTTATCTGTTTCAAACTTCTCTTTAATCAACGAAGAAATAAAACAACAGGTTGCCTCAAAATTACCCAGAACCAATAAAACTCATGGTTTAAAACCTTTTCACTGTGAAAAACAAAAATTAACATTAACAAATTTATTCTCGAGATTGTTTTTCAAGATTCAATACCTTGGCTTATTTTTTTTCTCGAAAATATCTCCATGGGTGGCTGCACAAGAGGCGGGGACGTTTGAAAAGCCGTCGATGGTGGCCAAAAGATACGCACGATCGAGTTCAGCCTTTGCTTTCTGGGAGTGATTTTTTCAATGAATTGATGCTTGACATCGTGCTTATATCTGTTGTGCAAACCCTGCTTCGAGAACACTTCGGACCGGGTAATCCATCAGATTTAAATCGGGGCTTAATCTGGTGGGCTACTGCTGAGGCGCCGATGACATCTGGAAAGTTTCCTGTTCACACCACTCTTGGACATCCCAAGCTTCTCAGACAGGCGTCTCATCCCCTGCTGAATAACATTTTAAAAGTTTCTAAAAGTTTTTCAAAGTCAAAAATTTGCATATTAAACAAAAAAGCAGCAAAGATAGCTAAATCCAAAAGTGCGGCAAATGGAGGTTGATTTGGGTAATATTGAGGCAGTCTCTGTAAACAGGAAGATTGTGATTTTCTAGTATTTGACTCTTCAGCGCCTATATACAATTCCGTATTTTCTCTTTGAGCTCGTTATTTTTGAAGGAATGAAATGACTTTAATGACTGTAAAACTGCTGAGAATTTTTCATTTTGGTTATTTTTCTTACGTTTAGTTATCAGCGAATAAATATGAGGTGGTCCAGTATAGTAACCGGGTCCTGTGGTCGATTCGTGGGAGATTTGAATGACAGGACTCACTCTTTTTGTTATCGATTAATCCGGATTAGCCTCGAATATTTTCGTATTGCTGCTTCCCTGCACTAGTTTTTGTATCAATGGGCAGAGAAAGTACTCTGCCGCATCTAATGATACCAAGAATATTTTAAATCTGACAGCCCAACACCAAGATATTTGAGTCTAAAGTTGGATTGTTAGAATGGAAAAGGATGGGGCAGCGATCTTTGAAAAACTACACCGGATTATAAAAAATCTAGATATTTTTACTCCCAAGTATACTTTTTTACACAAAAATTGCCATCTAAACAACCTTTTGATGAGGATGTTTGAAGGTCGTATAGCAGTTTTTTGTTGTTGAGATTTTATAAGTTCTTCGTAGAATCGCTTAAAATCCTCATGTTTTGAGATATAAAGTTTTTTTGTGGTTTGTTTTCAAGTAAAAACTCAGTTCTATCGAACGGTAACAGCAGTTTTTGGAAAAAATTTCTTACTCGGTAAAGTTTGGGTCAACTTTCGCAAAATCTTCTTTAGCGACCAGACCGGGATATAAAAATTTTTCGTCAAAAAGTTATTGAGAGCTAAAATCTTTTTATGAAAATGGCTATATTGGGGGTGAAACCAATTGCACTTAGAATCCATGTTACTTTTGAAATTCACGTTTTTTTGAAGCCAAAAAAATCACTGCTACAGAAAAAGGGGTCAGAACTTTGCCGATAATCTATAATAATCTAAAATTTTAATCAATAATAATCTCTAATAATCTCTAATAATCTCTAATAATCTCTAATAATTCTCTATAAAACCTATAATAATTTATAATAATCTCTAATAAACTCTAGGTATCTCGATCCAATCGGCTCTCTGAATCAATTTGAAATGGTTTTGAGGAGACAAGTGGATTTGCGAAATGAAGGAAGAGCATTGCAGGTTTGAAATATTTGAGACTTCCAAGAGAACACTTCCAAGATTTCAAAGTTTAGCGCTTTACCGAGAATTTTCATCATGGAAAGCTGCGAATCGAGTTCCCGAAAGTGATCGCTTTCAATCGACGCGTTTTGTGTGAGACTTTTGAAGCAGGAGATCATTTCGATGCAATGTTGGAAAAAAAAGAGGTTCATAACAAAAGATTATTGAAATTATTGAATTATTCAAATCTATTCAATCTTGATCTTCAGAAATCAAAGGAAAGTGCTGAGGTTCGTCATAAAATCGCGGTACTCGGCGCACAAGGTTTCCTCCAAATGGCGTTTGTCGACAATTTTATTCACGGGGATTTACACCCAGGGAATATTTTGATAAGGTATTTGGGCAAAACTGGAATCTAAAAGTAAAAAAATGGCGATGATTCTTCGATTGAAAACTCTCCAAATGAGTAAAAGTTTCCTCAGTTTGATTCAAATAAAATCTGGATTTTTCATTTGAATATTTTTAGTCGATAACTCTACAGGATTCGGCAAAATTACCCGGACAAGAGACTTGTTTGAATGTTATTCTTCAGCCGCTTCATAAAACCCCCATTCTTTTTCTATAAACTAGACTTCGGAAAACAAAACTTAACCAAAACCAAAACTACCAAAACCAAAACCAAAACAAACCAAAACCAAAACAAACCAAAACCAAAACCAAAACAGACCAAAACTAACCAAAACTCGCCAATATCTCGCGACTGGGAGGAGCTAGCGAAAATCTGTTTGCAGATTTGAAATCAGCATCCAAAAATCTATCCCATAGGCTATTTTTTGTTTCGAAATTTCGAGGTCGTGTTTTGGTCCTTTTTTCGGCCGCGAGATTTTGTGGAGTGAGAAAAAGTGAAAGGCAAATTTGCATTTTACATTAAAATTTGCATTTTACAATTTTAAATTTGCATGTTAATTTATATGCAAATTGAGTTTTGGTTTGCTTTGGTGTTTTGGTGTTTTGGTTTTGGTTTTGGTTTTGGTTTTGGTCTGTTTTGGTTTTGGTTTTGTTTGCCGAACTCTACTATAAACTCTCAATTAATCTCTTAATTATCCTCAAAAAGAAATTCCACTTTTCTAGTCTTAATGTTGTTTTTTCTCGAGTTTTTCAGGAACTAAAAAAGCGCTGAAAAGGAGGAAAATGAAGTCTCGCGCCAGGATTCATTTTTACCCTTTCTTTTTGGTTTAAAAGAAACCCCGGTAAAAGGATTTTTCTTTTCAGTAATTTTCCAATAAGTTAAAGAAACAATAAATTTATAATATGGAGAAAATTATACGATTAAGCTGGCTGCCTGCAAAGTTACGATGAACACTCTTGTTCGGGTAATTTTGCCCCAACGAAAGTGTACTGTACATGTTAAATGTACACACGAAAGTCTACTAAACATGTTAAATTCCAAGCCAAAACAAAACAAAAGACTTGGCCTAATATTTGAACGAGATCATCTAGGAAAACGAAGGGCATTTGATAGTGAGGGTTTGTCAGAACACGAAGCACAACTTGAAAAGTCTCTGGAACCGACCCTGGTTCTTCTAGACTGTCCAAAAAAGCTAAGCATAGCTGGTTAGCTTGTCAGAACACGAAGCACAACTTGAAAAGTCTCTGGAACCGACCCTGGTTCTTCTAGACTGTCCAAAAAAGCTAAGCATAGCTGGTTAGCTTGTCAGAACACGAAGCACAACTTGAAAAGTCAATGACTATTCAAAAAAGCTAAGCATAGATAGTCTTGAATGCAAAACTCTGATTCTGAATCAAACTTTCAATCAACTATTTAGATTCAACGAAAAGAACGACCAACATTTGCCAAAAAATCCACTCCAGAAGTTCATGGACAAACTCCGATGGCTCTTACGTCGAAATTCAGTAGATGAATCTCGGGAACCGACCCTGGTTCTTCTAGATGCAGGTTTGAATTTGGAAAATTTATTCACACGAATAATATGGTACAAACAATAAATAAGCACAACCGTTAAGCCATAAATGTAGGGCAAAACTCATATGGAAAAAAGAACCAATAATCTAGCCGGCGAGATTGAACCCTTGACCTCCCAACTAACTCGGAAAGGGTACTAGGTCTCAGGGGCCTTTCAAAACCAGACCTAGACCATTTTGCCAAGTTTTTCATGGGGAATCTGAATCCGTTTTCAAAATAAACTCATAAAGAGTACCTGGAGCCACTTGGATTGGCTTCTGGCTGGGTCTAACCAGCCACTTTGCTTTGCTTTGCAAACTTTGCTTGACTAACAATAGCTATTAGGTTGTTCGGATATAAACAAGCGTTGCTAAACTTATTGTTGTGAGAGAAGTTGTGAGAGAAGCTTTTTAAAGCATGTCTTTTTGTATTTAAAAGTACGTTATCTTGTGCATATTTGGAATCTTTTTTAAATAAATGAAAATAAATGAAAAAAGATGCAAAAGAGATTGAACCCGAGCAAAAAGTGCATATCTTTTTCCTGATACAAGCCTTTTACCCACTGCACCAATCGGCCACCTGTTTAGCGAATGTGCGAATCGATTTGACGTGCCTTAAATAGATATGCCAAAAACATTTTTGCTAACTAGCTCGCGTTTGCATTTGCAGATTTTGAAAACGAATTCGGTTTCCCCGTGAAAAACTCTACAAGATGGTCTAGGTCTGATGGTCTAGGTCTAGGTCAACAAGATGGTCTAGGTCAACAAGATGGTTTAGGTCTGATTTTGAAAGAGCAAGAAGACCTAGTACCCTTCCCTAGCAAGATACAGGGCTCTTAGCCAGTCTTAGCCAGTCATAGTAAAAGAAATGGACACTTAAGGAATTGCCGTTTCACAAACCCCTGAGAATGTTCAACGCTTCAAAAAGATGTTCAAGTATATCATCGAGAATCGAGTGCGTGAGAAAGCTTTTCTAAAATTGCTCAGAATTTATTTAGGGCTACGAAGCCGGACAATTTTTCCTAACTTATGAGGCGAATCGGCAAAAATGCAGGGATTCTGATGCATTTTGTCGAGATCTTAAAGCACTAGTAGATCGAGCAAGAAGAGACAGTTTTCATCGAACGGTAAGAGCAGTGCTTTGCTACAGAAAGTTTCTTTTTCTTCTAACACGCTTTAAACTTTCAGATCAACGTCACCTCGGTGTTCAACGAAATGTTCTCGATTCTCTGGAAACACCGAGTTCTCATCGATTCCTCGTTCACCTCGGTGATGCTCTCAATGATGGTTTGTTGAAATAGAAACACTATTCGTTGGATAGAATTATGAAAGAAGTTGAATTTGGCTTAGGCTTTGGCTTTGGCCTTGGCTTAGGCTTTGGCTTAGGCTTTGGCCTTGGTTTGGCTTAGGCTTTGGCTTTGGTTTTAGCTTAGCTTTGGCTTTGGCTTTTGCTTGGCTCAGGCTTAGGCTCAGGCTTAGGCTTTGGCTTTGGTTTTAGCTTGGCTTTGGCTTTGGCTTTGGCCACTAATCAATCGATAAACTAGAGAAAAACTTTTTTCAGTTCCAAAATTTTAACGATGTTGATCAATTTCACAGAAAAGATCAACAATTTTAACGATGCTGATCTTTTCTGTTTGATCAATGTGCCAGAAAGCTTGCGATTGGCCACTTCCATAGAAACTCTTTATCTACAGAATATCTGGTGTCTATTGAAACCCAATGAAAGCCGATTGAAACCCAGAAGGCGCTCTGATCCTATCAATTTGTCAAAAAGAACTTGAACATATTGTGAAACCGATTGACTTTATCGATTAAATGATATTTTATCTAAAAAAAATTACATTACTACACTTAGATAATAGTCGAAAAACAAATTTCTCTGTTCAGGTGCTCGAGGGAATCGGTCGAACTTTGGACCCGAAATTGGATCTTTTCGAATGTGCTAAACCCTATCTGCTGAATGTTTTTTTTGAATAGAAAAGCAAGCGTTAGTTAAAGTTTAAACATAGTTTATATTACATTGCATTGTTTAAAACTATTACATAGTTTAAAGTGTTTCTTTTTAAAGTTAAGTGCATAGATTTTATGAATTGTTGTACAATTTTTGGGTGAAGTTGTGATAGCATAATGTGAGGATTCCTTCGTTGTGAAAATTTGTGAATAAACATTTCCCAGAAGAAGTAAAACGCTTATAATAGCTTGCTAAAAGGCAAGTGAAAATACTTATACAGGGTGACCAGAAATAACGTTGATTTAAAGACTTAAAGACCTAAGGATCTAAAGATCTAAGGATCTAAAGATCTAAGGATCTAAAGATCTAAGGATCTAAGGACCTAAGGATCTAAGGACCTAAGGATCTAAGGATCTAAGGATCTAAGGATCTAAGGATCTAAGGATCTAAAGATCTAAGGATCTAAGGATCTAAGGATATAAGGATCTAAAGATCTAAGGATCTAAAGATTCAAAGATTTAAAAATCTAAAGACCTAAGGATCTAAACATCTAAAGTTTTAAAGATAAAGGGTGACCAGAAATAACGTTGCGGCCCAATTTAGCCTATTTTTTTTGAAAAATCCAAAAAGATTTTGTAACAGAAACAATTTTTTATTAACAACATGATATAAAGAGAGCATAAAATCTACTTTTCTTCCAAGTGGCCACCTTTGGCTCCGAGGCTCCAAGTGGCCACCTTTGGCGCCTCAAACGCTTGATTAAATTTTCGGCGATGGGCCGCAGCTCGGCCGGAGTGATTCGATCCCATTCCCTGGTCAACGATCGCTTAAGAGCCTCCAAACTTTTGTGGGGTTTTGCACAAGCCCTTGCCTTCAAAATTGACCAAACACTGTAGTCCAATAGATCGCACGAATACGGAGGTCATTCCTGGGCCGAGATGAAATCCGGAAAGTTTGTCCTACACCAGTCCTGTGTGGATTTGGCTCGATGGAAGGAGCGGAGTCTTGTTATAAGGTCCAAAATCCGTTACCAAAATGCTGTTGAGCCCATGGAAGCAAAACATCCTCAAGAATCTTTTTTTGGTATACATCCTTATTGATTTTTACCCCAGAATCGATGAAAATGAGAGGAGTTTTGCCGATTGCGCAGATTCCGGCCCATACCATGACCGATTTGGGATTTCGTCGGTGTTGAACAATCGCAGAGGTGCCTGGAGAGGACGTTGACCAAATCCGATCGTTTTGGTGGTTGTAGCTTTGCTCATTTTAGGCTGCCGAAAATCCCGCAACGTTATTTCTGGTCACCCTGTAATACCTTGCTAAAAAGCAAGCTAAAACGCTTATAATACCTTGCTAAAAAGCAAGCTAAAACGCTTAAAACGTTGCTTAAAATGCTTAAAAAGCAGAAAGCAAAGTGAAACGCGAAAAAAGTTGCTTAGAATTTGCTAAAACCCAATTGATTTAACAGTAGGAATTGTGTTTTCAGCAAAAAAAAAAACACAACTTTCATTTCTCTATTTTCACAAAGTTGTTTATCAGAAATTGCTTCCCCTTTTTTCTGTTGCTCTTTAAAGTGCAAACATTTCTCTCCTTTTCTTCTTTTTCTTCTTTTTCCTCGTCGAAAACAACACAAGAAATCTAGACGCTGAATTCATTTGAGAAGAGTTTCGCAAGAAATTTTTGTTCAAACTTTTACCAAACTTTTACCAAACTCAAATTAGATTCACACAAATAAGTTTATATTTGACAGATTTTATAATTAGAATGACAGGAGAATGACCTTGAAATCGAGACGGTTCGAGTGGAAAGAAAAAACTGAAAACTGAAATTGTCGGCGAAAAGTTTACAACTTAAAAACGATGTTGTAAAGTGGGTGAAAGACGGAAAGTGAAGCGAAAATTGATACAAATTGAATAGAAATGGAAAACACAACAAACTCTTCTAACAGAAAAGATTTTAAAGGAAGCTTAAAAGAAAGTTGATAGGGTTAGAGGTTTGACTCTTGAAAACATTCAATTCAACATTCAGTTCAATAGAATTTCCTCAAAATACGGATTCAGTTGAATTGAATTGAAAATTTGGGTTAAATTTGGGTTATTTTAAACTCAACAATAACAAGCCAATCTTTTCTATTAAAAAAAACAAATGGAATTCTTTGGGATGGCAAAAATCCCCTTTTCCGACAGCTTCTTCATTCTTACAATGCAAAATAATCATCTAGAAACTAGAAAAAGTACCAGGTGTGAGCGTTTGTCAGAGCACAAAGTACAACGAACCATTCAATGCTCAAGCAAAAGCTTCATTCTTTATAGAAGAACTGATTTTAGAAGAACTAAAGAACTAAAGAACTGAAAAACTAATTTTGTTCTTATGTACTTTATACTAAAAACTGCAATTACTCCTTTTATTCATTTGGCTTTCCTACCGTAAATACTCTAATAGAACGCCACCCTCATAATGACGGTGCGGAGTGTTGCGTAGTCTAGCTTTGAACGTCCCGTTCTCCGCACTATTTTAAGCTTTAGTTTGCGCTTGGGTGTCAAACGATAGCCCTTAAAATCTAGTATTTTTTGGAACTAAAATTGTAGTTGAGAACAATCAAGGGGCTGAGAAAATAATGAGTTTCTAAAAAGAAGTTAGACGGAGGACTAGATGAGAAAGTGGCGTTCTATTAGAGTTGAGTCTGTTATTTACCTACTATTAGTGTCTATTATTTACGGTAGATATACAATTAGCAAGTATCTAATTGACTTTCACTTCATTCGAATAACTTTGAGCCACTTTGAGTCAGAGTGTTCACTAGACTGTGTTTATCTCAAATAATGCGATTATAAAGCGTTCATACGGCAAAGAAATGCAAATTTTCTTCTTTAATTACATTTAAGTCAAAGATCGCTTTGAAACACGCTAAAAATTTTGTAGTTTGTAGTTGGTTTCTAGTTAGTTTCTAGTTTGTTTTTAGTTTCTAAATGTTTACTTTCAAGCTTTGACTTTTTTTTTTTCAATTCAACAGCTCTAATAGACAACTAGTTTTTAAAAACAAAAACAACTAAAAAGCAATTAATTTTCCATCATTTTTATTTTTTAGAAGTCAAATATAGAAAAAAAAACTGTCCTATTGTTCTTTCTCTTTCTCTTTCTGCTTCTTCTTCTTCTTTCTTTCCGTTCTTATCCAAAATACAAACATTATTTAACCGAGCGACTGAATAAAACATAAAAAAACACAAAAAGATTATGCTAAAACAAAGCAAAAGCTTACTATTAAGTTACATATCGATTTGAAAAATTGAAACAAAAATGAAAGTGCTTGCAAAATAATCATGTCCACCTTTATATACGCAAGCAAAAAGATAGTGCATTTTAGTGCATTTTAGAATGTCATTATCCAACAATTATTTGATCAATTTATTTGGATAAAGAATTACTTGCTTATCCATTTATATCCATCCATATCCATCCATATCCATCCATATCCATCCGTATCCAAATAATGATTTGTTCAAGATCAACACACCCTCACAAAACCTGTACTTCAACCGTTAAGATATCCACCAAGTTAACCACAATCTTTCCACCATAACTCTATTTCCCTACTTCCATAACTATTTCCCTTCTTCCATAACTCTATTTCCCTTCTTCCATAACTCTATTTCCCTTCTTCCATAACTCTATTTCCCTTCTCACCCAAATCACTTACATGTGATCAACATCTGACATACTGTCTGTGGTTGGTGGTCCCCGAAATGCCTCTAAAAATGTGTTCAGACTGATGGGGAGGGGTTGAGGGGAGGCATTGAGCGGTATGGAGGGACGGGTGTTCGATGGGAAACAGTGATGAAAGAGAATAAAAGAGAAGAGAGAAAAGAGAAAAGAGAAAAGAGAAAGAGGAGAAAAAGAGGAAAGGCTTTGCCGGGCCACTCTCTCCTCTCTCACAATTCCCTATTTCTCTTCCGCAAAGACAAGTGTGTGTGCGCGGTCGCGTCGCGTCTCAACAGATCGATTCTCAGTCGTTGTGTGTGCGGGGTTCTTCGGCTGGCTTGTGCCTCTCGTTCGCCTCCTTCGAGCCTCAACCTCCTTTCCTTTCCTCACTCCATCCCGGATCTTTTCCTGAGTTGGGAAAGCTTCTCCTCCATCAACATTCCTTCCCAACTGGCAGCTCTTCGCGCTTCATTTAGCGAGAGCAGCCGATGCGCCAGGAGTCGCAACGAAAGCGCCGCTGCAACAACGACTCCACTTTCGAGCAGGCGGCCCTCCACGCTTTGCTTTACCCCCACCCCCAGCCTATGCCCCCGGTAAACCAGGTGAGAGTTTTTTTTAGGGTTTAATTAGGAATACGAAGTATTACTGGTTACTTCTGGTACATTGTAGCATTACTGGTTACTTCTGGATTTTAAAGTGAACCAGTCGATGGAAAGCCAGCCTAAACAGCTAAATCAGGCTGGTTTCTGGTCAGCTTGTTAGCCGATTTCTTTCAGAATTAAGTTTAAATTCGATTTCAAGCCTGGTGCTAGGTTAGGAAAAGTTTGAAGTCAATTTTCAACTTGATTATCACTGAAAAATATTTCACCGTTTGCCAAAAACTTGTCAAAAGTTGATAAACTTTATAAACTAAACATTTTTTTATTTTAATAGTTATCGGGCTTTTATATGAAGCTTTGATATTAGGCTTTAATAGAATAACAACAGATTTCGCAATTAAAAAAGGAACAAGAGTGTCAAATGCCTAGACCGTCAAATATCTAGGTCGTCAAATACCTAGGTCGTCAAATGCCTAGACCGTTAAATACCTAGGTCGTCAAATATCTAGGTCGTCAAATGCCTAGACCGTTAAATATCTAGGTCGTTAAATGCCTAGACCGTCAAATACCTAGATCGTCAAATACCTAGGTCGTCAAATACCTAGGTCGTCAAATGCCTAGACCGTTAAATACCTAGGTCGTCAAATATCTAGGTCGTCAAATGCCTAGACCGTCAAATACCTAGATCGTCAAATACCTAGGTCGTCAAATACCTAGGTCGTCAAATGCCTAGACCGTTAAATACCTAGGTCGTCAAATATCTAGGTCGTCAAATGCCTAGACCGTTAAATATCTAGATCGTCAAATACCTAGGTCGTCAAATGCCTAAACTAAACCTTGCTACCTAGATCCTGGCTTTAAAATAAACCTTGCTTTAAAGCTCAAGTAGATCTAGAAAATGTTTAATCCAGTTTCATACAATTTAATTGAATACAATACAGTTGAACGCAATTTCTAGGTGCCGTCAAGCACTCAAGGAATCACCGGCATAATCGAGAATCACCTACAACTACCCTCGGAAGAGCAGAGAGCAACCCTCAAGCGAAAGCAAGAACATGAACTAGATAAGGTGAGTGAATAGGGTACCGGATAGTGGTTAGAGTCCGGAAAGGCTGGAAAGCGGGAGGTCGAGGGTTCAGTTTGTTGGTGCTAAGAAACACGAATCAAGTGCCGCAGAAATGGTGTTTTTCTATTAGCACAACGTACACCAGTATAATTAAAGAAAGAAAATGAACAGTAAGTAATAAAAGAACAGTAATAAATCCTTTAGTCATCATGAAACTTCATATTCTTTTGAAATTTTATTGTTTCTTCAAAAAGTTTTCTGGGGTAAATCTCGATGTAAACAAGTTCTCTTGTTTTTGTAAAGCGGGGGATTTTGTTTGTTAAGTTTTCTCCGCTGACATTTACTCACCGAATTTGTCGGGTTTCTTCCAATTCAATGGGTTTCATTAAAAGTTTTTGATGCTTTGAATATTTCGAATATTTCGAATATTTCGAATATTAAGATTTGTGAAATTTTGTAAACAAGAGTAAAGCTCTTTTGGCGAAAATGATTGAACATAGCTTTTGCGCCAAAATCCTCTTATAGGATTTGATGATAGGACTTATAGGACTTGGAAATGGTGAAAACTAATTTTAGATTTTGTCATTATATGAGAAACTCGGCGAATTTCGTAACTTTATCACGTAATATTGAAAAGTTTAAAAAAGAAATAAGAGCTTTTTGGATATTTGCCTTTTCCCTGGCTCTGAATGGCTTTAAAGCTCCATTTGAGGCTTAAGAAATTGCATTTGCTTCAATTCTTCACACTCGTTTATGTAAAGAACTTAAATTTTTTTAAATTTTCCTTTTGTTCAACCTTTTCCCCGGCTCTGAATGGCTTTAAAGGCATTTGAAGCTTAAGAATTTGCTTTCCCCGGCCCATGACTTTAAAGCTCCATTAGAGGCTTAAGAATTAGCTTTCCCCGGCTTTTGTTCAGCCTTTTCCCCGGCTCTGAATGGCTTTAAAGCTCCATTTGAGGCTTAAGAATTTGCATTTTGAGAATCAGATATGTAAAAATCTAAAGTTTTCAGAGATTTTCAGAGATTTTCTTAATTTTTCCAGTCAAAAGCCAATTCTGGATCGATTCTTTACAGATCTGACCAATCAGACTTCAAACCTCAAATAATTTCCCATTGATCAATATAATTTCTCACGCCTAGCCTTTAATTTAATTGTTTAATTAATTGTTATCAAAGTTTTATCTGTCAATTTTCATTATCAAAGCATTCTTACACATTTCCCCATTAGTTATTCAATGCTTTTTCAAAAGCAAGTCTACTTTCGGGGTTGGGATGTCGTTTTTGAGATTTCAGATGATGAAGAGGATGAAGTAAGGGATTTGAGGAGGATTTTCAAAAGAATTTCTCTTATTCTTTAGCATTTGTATAGAATTTTTCCTATTATCCATTTTTTATCTTGGATTTTGTTCATTTTAGAATTTCCTTTTATCTTTTCCTTTCAAAAAGAATTATCGAATCGAACTCTTCAAAAAGTTAGGCACTGATTTTTAGGTTATTTTGCCTACTGTAAGATGTCGTTTAGGTTAGCTAAAGAGAATTGTAAGAACTAGAGAGAATTGTAAGAATTTAAAACACAGCTCGTAATCTAAGCAGTTTCTAGGCGCTGATTTCTCTTATCCTTTAGGTTAGCTAAAGAGAATTGTAAGAGTTTAAAACACAGCTCGTAATCCAAGCAGTTTCTAGACATTGATCTCTCTTCATTTTCAGGATCGCTCGGCGATGACTCTGGCTGTGAAGCCCCCGCCGAAGCCGGTCCACGGAAGCCACAACACGGCTCAATCGTCCACAGCTGCAAACGGGAAATTCTTGCAGAAGACGACCGGACGCAGCAAACAATCGACTGAGGGAGAGTATCAGGTACGGTAGAAAGATGATTTTATATAAAACTTATCAAGATTTTATATCAACTCTCCAAAAACCTGTTTCAAGTCAGTTGTTCAGTCAGTTAAAGCTCTGAAAAATTGCATCTCAAAACATTGTTGTTCTCGGCGTTGCATTAGCCAGTTTAACCTATTCTTTAACTGGAGCTAGTACCAAATTCAATAATATAAAAGAGAATCTACTATATTTCTAAAAAAAATGTGAATTCTGTGCGATTTTATGGAATTTTTTCGAATTCGGATGTAACATATAAAAAAAAGAGAAATGTCTGTCTGTCTGTAAGGCCTGTACGGGCATTTACTCAGCTCTGTTTTAACCAATAAAGCCAAGACTCTTTAGAAAACATTAGAACAAATTCTAGTTGTGCTGTTTAAAACTAAAAATTTAAAAAGCCAAAGTTGAGTGGCACCACGGGCGGTCGAACCCGGCTCGAGTGAGCCGTTGACAAGCGCGCTCCTGATTGCGCCACGTCGGCTTCGGCGCCAAGACATCCGGCTAGAAAAACCTGCCGTTTAGAAAAGCCTAAGCGGCTTTTTTCGGCTGGTATACAAATACAGACAAACCTTTTAGAATATGCAAATAAGCCATGTGTTTAGTTGATCAAAAATGAAGTGCTCGTCTCTCCGTATCGCAATCAATATGAAGTGCTCGAGTTTTTGGGAAAAGGCACATTTGGACAGGTTTGAGAAATTTCGTTTGAAAAATTGCTGGTTTTATCTAGAGAATCTGATTCAGCAACCTTTTTTTCATCAGCAACAGAAGCAATCTTTTTTTTTCAGGTGGTGAAAGCGTGGAAAAAGGGTACGAATGAAATCGTGGCGATCAAGATCCTCAAGAAACATCCGAGCTATGCGCGACAAGGACAAATCGAGGTAGAGTGCGGGGGAAATGCAGATCCCTGATCTCTGGGGAAATGCTTATCCCACTAGAATGTTACAGTTATTTTGCACAGCTGGGTCACGGTAGCCGTTCAATTATTGTAAAATTGAGTAGCTGGGTTACGGTAGTCGTACTTGAAAACCCTACCCGGGGTATACAATTCGAGTGTCCCCCTGATTACCCCCAAGTGCCCCCCTTGCCAGAGGCATTTTACGTTTTTCTCGACGCACAATTTACCAATTGGGCTGTTTTTGGTTTCATTCGATGCGTCTAACTTTCCTCTATCCAATGAAACCAATAACAGCAAAATTGGTCAATTTTTCGTCAAGAAAAACGCGAAATGCCTCTGACAACGAAATGCCTCTGGTGGAGCCTTGGGAGACTTCGGTGGAGCCGGAGCGGGCGGACAACAATACGATCCTGAGGTTTGGGTGTTTGTGATCACAACAATAATCACGAGGGGCACTTAGGGGGTACTCAGGGGGGCGGACACTCGGAATGTATAACCCGGAGTGTAGTTCGATTGAGAATTTCCCGCTGATTCGGAATCTGGTTTCCATTTCTCCTATGGAGCACTCTGTCAAAAGTTATACGCGTGCAACGTTTGGGATTTGGGATTTCAAAAGTCACGCCCTGAATTTGTGAGCAGCTTTCGTAGAGACTCCAAAAAGCAGTGGTGGTCGAGTGGCAGTGGGTTAGAATACAAGGCAAAGACTGGAAGACTCTCTAGTTCAAAGCCACCATTCTACTTCTTTTGTTGAATTCTGCGTCGAATAACCTGTGAAAAATGTCATTGGTCATTTGTCATTTGCAAATGTCATTTGGCCACTACACCGAGTTGAAATTCCCTTCTAAGTAAAATAGCATCAATTGGCTGTCTAACAAACACTCATCTGACTGTCTAATTATCCAACCAAGTGCTAAGCTTAAGCTGTTAGGCTTTGAGATTGTTGATTTCGTTTTCCAAATCGGGAACTGCCCAAATGCGTCATAAGTGAGTGATAGAAAACAACATTAGACACACATTAGAAAAAGGGAGAAATCGGGAAATCGGGAAATCATTTCCCCTTGAGTCTATCGGGTGATTCTCTCCTTCAGTCAGCCCCTTCTCCATTTTCTTCGTTGCCATGACTTTCCCCTTTCCCATTTCTCCGGAAAGGATTAATGAATCGAAAAGAGCAAAAGAAAATTTATAGAAATCTATAGAATTTCCAGAAAAACATCTTGTGGATACGGTAATTGAAATCAAATTTTCTTCCTTTTCAGGTCTCGATTCTGTCGAGATTGTCGAGCGAAAACGCCGAAGAGTTCAACTTTGTGCGAGCTTTTGAATGCTTTCAGGTAACAGAAAAGATTCGAAAGTGGAAGAGTTATGAGAAATCGACATTAGTTCATTTGCATTAGTTCAATGATTCAAGAAAATGGCTTTGGCTCAAGAAATAGGCTCTAGAAATAGGCTCTAGAAAATGGCTCTAGAAATTGGCTCTAGAAATTGGCTCTAGAAATTGGCTCTAGAAATTGGCTCAGAAGATAGGCTCAAGAAACAACTCTTGAGTCTTCAACGACTAACTTTAGATCTTCAACGAAATGTGTTTCCAGTGTAAACATTACCTTTCAGCACAAATCGCACACATGTCTCGTCTTCGAGATGCTCGAGCAGAATTTGTACGACTTCTTGAAGCAAAACAAGTTCAACCCATTGCCACTCAACTCGATTCGTCCCATCGTTCAACAGGTACTGTATTCAGCTTCAGCTTCAACAGTTTCAGCTTTAGCTTCAACAGTTTCAGCTTTAACTTCAACAGTTTCAAATGCTCAGCTGAAACTGCTAAGACAAAAGGTTAAACTAAGTCAGTTGATGGTATTTTTGACTATAGGTTCAGGGAATAGGATTCCTGGAACAATCCTTGCAGTTTCAAATGCTCAGCCTTTGAAACTCAAAAGTCAAACTAACTTTGAAAGTCAAACTAAGCCAAAATGTTGATGAGTCAGTTGATGAGACTAGGTCAGCTGATGGTATTTTTGACTATAATCTTAAGAAATAGGACTCCTGGAACAATCCTTGCTCTATATTCTCATGCTCTATATTAGTCAAAGACTATCAATATTCTCTATTACAGGTACTGACGGCGCTAATGAAGCTAAAGCATCTCGGATTGATCCACGCGGATTTGAAACCAGAAAACATTATGCTCGTCGATCCAGCAAATCAACCATTCAGAGTCAAGGTTGGAACAGATTTAAATAAGATTTTGTTTTTCTTAAAAAGATTGAAAGATTGAAAAGTTTTGAAATTGGATATAATAATATGATGATCATTTTACAGGTGATCGACTTCGGATCAGCGTCACACAGAAGCAAAGCCGTGACAAACACTTATCTCCAAAGTCGCTACTACAGGTGATTTTAGGTTTAATTGCTTTAGATGCTTTAGAAAATTATAATATTTCAAAAATTCTAATATTTCAGAGCTCCGGAGATCATTCTCGGTCTTCCGTTCAAGGAGGCGATCGATATGTGGTCGTTGGGTTGTGTGATTGCTGAGCTCTTCTTGGGATGGCCACTCTATCCTGGATCAAGTGAATACGATCAAATCCGGTAACACTTTTTTTGAGTCTATTTTGTGCTTAAAACCTTTGTTGATATAGGTTTTGCTTTAGCTTTCAAGCGGTACTAATTTCTAGTCAAACTAGGCTCGAAAATGCATACGGTAGCGCTCAAAATTGATTCGTACATCTCGCATTTTGGATTTAGAATCAGTCTAGATACTAGATGCATTAAATATTCACAAAACTTGAGAAAGTTCTCCTTTTTTTCATTCTAAGCGTTTTTAGGTACATCGTTCAAACACAAGGCCTCCCATCAATCGAAATGCTCGAAGCGGCCGCGAAAGTGCATCGATTCTTCAAAGAAGTCAAGGTAAGTCACAGTTTTTGAAAAAACTTTTGCTCTTTATGAATCCAGTTGCTTATTTTTTTAATATAAAATGTCTAATATCTAGTTTTTAGATGCCGGGCATCGCTCAACAAAACTATTGGCGCTTGAAAACCGTCGAAGAGTTCGAGCAGAGCAATGTTCACGTGAAATCGAAAGAGACAAGGAAATATATCTTCAATTGTTTGGATGACATTTCAAGGGTAAGGAAAGGGATGAGAAAGGGATGAGACTAAAGAAATGTATCTTGAGTCGGATTAGAAATAGCTGATTAGAATGTGAAAACATTTTGGCCAAGTTTTGGCTAAATTGATCAAATTTTAGCTAAATTTTGATCAAATGTTGGTTAAATTAATCAAATTTTGGCTAAATTAACCAAATTTTGGCTAAATTGATCAAATTTTGGCTGAATTAATCAAGTTTTGGCTAAATTGATCAAGTTTTGGCTAAATTTTGATCAAATTTTGGCTAAATTAATCAAATTGTAGTTAAATAGATCAAGTTTTGGCTGAATTAATCAAATTTTAGCTAAGTTGATCAAATCTGGGTAAATTTTGATCAAATTTGAGCTAAGTTGATCAAGTTTTGGCTAAATTGATCAAATTTTAGCTAAATTGATCAAATTTTGGCTTAATTGATCAAATTTTAGCTAAATTAATCAAATCTTGGCTAAGTTGATCAAATTTTAGCTAAATTAATCAAATTTTAGCTAAATTGATAAAATTGTAGCTAAATTGATCAAATTTTGGCTTAATTAATCAAATTTTGGCTTAATTGATCAAATTTTGACTAAATATTGATCAAATTTGAGCTAAGTTGATCAAATTTTGGCTTAATTGATCAGATTTTAGCTAAATTAATCAAATTGTAGTTAAATAGATCAAGTTTTGGCTGAATTAATCAAATCTTAGCTAAATTAATCAAATTTTAGCTAAATTGATAAAATTGTAGCTAAATTAATCAAATTTTGGCTAAGTTGATCAAATTTTAGCTAAATTAATCAAATTGTAGCTTAATTAATCAAATTTTAGGTAAATTAATCAAATTTTGGCTAAATTGATCAAATTTTGGCTGAATTAATCAAATTTTGGCTAAATTAACCAAAATTTGGCTAAATTGATCAAGTTTTGGCTAAATTGATCAAATTTTGGCTTAATTAATCAAATTTTGGCTAAATTAATCAAATTTTGGCTAAGTTGATCAAATTTTAGCTAAATTGATCAAATTTTGGCTAAATTAACCAAATTTTGGCTAAATTGATCAAATTTTGGCTAAATTGATCAAATTTTGGCTAAATTGATCAAATTTTGGCCAAATTTCGAGCTCTACTTCTTCAAGCTCTTTATCAGATAGATTTCTATGAAACAGACAAAAGCTAATCAAAAAAAAAGCATCGATATTCAGTTTCCCGTGCTCCAACCGGGAATTCCCTATGTAGGTTATAAAATTTTGGGTTAAGTGGAGAGTTTTTCTTTTAAAAAAAAAACTCTCAACTTTCACCTATTAGAGATCTTTTGCGAAACGATTTCTTGATTTTTGTTTTGACTTTCCTTTGAGGCATCACCATTTCTATCCATAACCAATGCTAGTTCTGGCTATCAATTTCGTTTTTTTTTGGCTGAGGGCTTGTAAATCTAATGAGTAGTGATTGCTTATTGAAAAGTTAGTGCAAAATCGATAAAAAAACCGCATGGATCTTTTGGCTATTCTACGGTGTTTTCTTTGTTTAACGTTTTCTAAGACTTACTAAAAGCTAATGAAAAAGCTAAAAAGCTGATCTAGTTATCTGACTGTTCTGTAGACAGTAACGAGAATCAACATGACAAATGAGTCGCACAACTTCAGGCGCTTGATCTAGCCTCCAGAGTATCGGATTCCAATCAACTTTTTTCTAATTTAAAAGCCAAGATTTTAGGCTATCTAATGATATTTATTACTTATGTTTTTCTTTTGAAAAAATAGATAAAAAACCTTATCGAGAATTAACGAGATAACGAGATAACGAGGAACAGCAGCCGCGGTAATTCCAGCTCTCAAAGTGTATGTCATTATTGCTGCGGTTGAAAAGCTCGTAGTTGGATCTGAGCCTTTGGATACGGTTCACCTTTGTGTGATACTGGATGTGTGATACTGGATGTGTGATACGTTCGAAAATTAACGAGATAACGAAGAATTGTCTTGTTAAGTTTCGATAAGGTTTTTTACCTATTTTTTCAAAAGAAAAATCTAAATGATAGGTATCATTAGATAGCTTAAAATCTTGGCTTTTAAATTTTAAAAAAGTTCATTGGAATCCGATACTCTGGAGGCTAGATCAAGCGCCTGGAGTTGCGGAAACCGATTTTTTGATCTTTAAGACTTTTGATCGATTTCTCATTAAGCAAGTCTACTTTTCAGTCATTTTTTTTTGCTAAAAAGTTTTCTAAAAGATTTCTAATGGCTATCGTAGTTCAATTACTATCTTAAGCTTGAGCAAAAGACTTTAGACTTTAGACTTTAGGAGACTTTAGACTTTAGGAGACTTTAGACTTACGGTAGACTTTAGCTTTAGCCTTTAGGAGACTTTAACCTTTTTAGAAAACGCAAAATGAGTACAGCCTACAGTAATTTCCTATTTTGCACTAAACTCATCAATAAGCAAAATCTAGTTTTCCAATATCCAATATATACAGCTATCTGTCGGTTTTTGAGTGTCTTCCGGATATGTTTTTTGTTTCCGCGGGTTTCAAAGAATCGTTGTCGTAGATTTTCTGCCGAAAGTTCTTATGCTTGGAAAACTGGAAAACTGGAAAACTTTAAAGAAAATCAAGCATAAGAATTGTTCGCGTTAACCACTTGGTTCCGAGTTTTTCCTCAAACTTTTCGTAATTTATTTGTTAGCAGATTTATCCTCAACAATCCGTCTACCCGGTGGAGAATGATCCGATGGAAACAATGTGCGATCGACTCGATCGAGCCGAATTTGTCGACATTTTGAAGAGGATGCTGGTGCTGAATCAGGTGAGAGGAGTTAGATTCTGTAAAATGGAGATGGAGAATGGATTTCCATTAGAATTAAAGCTTACTTAGGATACGGTAACTTTAGAAGAGATCAGAAAAGAGAAAAGAAAAGACAGAAGTCCATTCCATTCCATTCCAAAAGGATTTCCATTAGAATTAAAGCTAGAAGAGATCAGAAAAGACAGAAAAGCAAAGAGAAAAGAAAAGAGAAAAGAAAAGACAGCCGTTCAGCCAGCACAAATTCCGTTTAAGATAATAGATTTCAAACAACGGTAAATCTGACTCTTTAGCTTTTTTTTTACTCTTCATATTGATCTTATCTTAATTATCCCTTAAGTTTTGATGATTTTACTCCTTTTAGGAATATCGACTAATGCCGTATGAGGGTTTACAACATCCCTTCGTTACAATGTCTCATCTCAGCGCTTACAGTATCCACAAATAGTGAGTTGAACTGTTATTTAAAGATCTAAAAGACCTAAATGAAACCTGGATCTAGAGATGCCGAAGTACAGAACCCAAGCCATTCTCTAACAAATTCTAAATTCAGCGTTCGAACGGCTGTCCAACGAATGGAGGTGACAAGAAGAAATGGACCTGGAAACGCGTCCACCTCAGCCGCCCACACCGTCAACCCATTGCAAAGAGCTCAAGCGGCTGCGCTCGCCGCACCGGTTGTGGCTCCGACTGCGAATCTCGCAGCGTCAAGTCTTGCCCCAGCTCCTCCACTCGTCTCAGCCTCTCAACAATCCGATTTGACTCATGTCTTGAATCAATATGGAGCCGCTGTCGCTGCTGCAAGTGTCACGAATCAGGCAACAACTGCTCCCTACTATTATCAACCGACTTTGGCTGCTGTTTTGCCATATGGTGAGGGAATTTCTGAAAGTTGGAACTCTTCTTTTTTAGCTGAAACTCTTGGAACTCTTGTTGTGAGGGTAGGAGTTGTAGGAGAACTCTGCAATCCAAGTCTAAACTCAATTCAACTTCAGCTCGTCAACAGCCATATGTCTTCGCTCCTCAACCGGCCTCACTTGTGCCTCAATTCGTGCCAGTGTCGATCATGGACCCAGCGATTCTTGCCGCACAAGCACAATGGCAGACTGGGCAATCGATGATTGGATGGCCAGCCGCAGCAGCTGCTGCACTTTTTCCAAATGGTAAGTTGTAAAATGGTTGTACTTGCTAGATTCGATCACTTCTTTACTTCTTTCAGGATGCCTCCCGAATGATTTCTTGGTTGGTGGAGGAGCGGCGGCGGTGAACTCAGCCTTGGCGGCTCGAGCGGCCAATGGAGCAACGCAATTCTCGCAGATGATCGCCGCAAGTGCACAGCCTCAACCGAAAGCTTTCCCGACGATCACTCATCAAATTGCTCCCCATCTCGCACAAGCGAGCGCAGTGGCTGGTGGATTTGTAAGTTACAAGTATCGTATTGAATAGATACGGTAAAAGAATGGTACTTGTACTTAGCTGAAGCTGCTCAAGCCTTCTGATTTAAGTAAGATTATTGTAAAGCAACTCAAAGCACTCAAAAGTGCAATAAAACCTCAGAAAGCTTGTCATTTCAAAAAGATTGTGGGACATTTGATTGTGGTTCCCTTGCCATTGGCAATCTAACTTTGGGCTTAAAGATCTTGGTGTTGAGCTGTTCAATTTATAAATTATTAGTGTCACTAGATGCGCCAACTCTTTCTCTATTAATTAGTACAAAAACTATTTAAATTGAACAGCTCAACACCAAGATATTTGTGGGCAAGGTTGGATCGACAATGGCAAAAGGGGCGGGGCAATTGTGAGACCTTTTATACGCCCCCCCCCCTTTGCGGCCCGCGCTCTGGCCCTTGCCATTGGTATACCAAGATATTGATGCCCAAAGTTAGCTTACCAATGGCAAGGGCCGAAGCGCGGGTCGCAAAGGGGACGGGCGCGTATAAAAGGTCTCACAATTGCCCCGCCCCTTTTGCCATTGGCAATCCAACCTTGCCCTCAAATATCTTGGTGTTGGGCTGTTCAATTGAAATAGTTTTTGTACCAATCGATAGAGAAAGACTTAGGGCATCTAGTAATACCAAGAATATTCAAATTGAACAGCTCAACACCAAGATCTTCAAGCTTAAAGTTAGATTGCCAATGGCAAAAGGGGCGGGACGCCCGATAAACTTGCAAAAATAGAACGCGATACTTCAGCCTAAACATTTCTGGAGCTGTTTTGTAATTCTTTGACTCCTGCTCTCAGCAGATTTACTGTAAACAGCGTAAAGTACTCAAAAGTCTTGTCAAAGTCTACTCTAAAGTCTCTAAACTCCAAATTCTAGCAAACTTAACACTTCTCATATTCTCAGCCTTTCCAGGACGAGTCCGCTTGGAGTCAAAACGGTCTTCTCCTACCCGGAGCCGCTGCCGCACTTGCTCAAGCCTCTGTCGCTTCCGCTTCAACCTCAGGACAAGTGAATCGAGCTTCGGCGAGGATTAAAGACCCAAATCTGAATGGGTAAGTTGCATCACTCCTCGCCTTGCACACCTAGCTCTTCCCTGTTCGATCTCTTGGTGTGGCAAAACTGGCAACACATGTTTTTTTTTTGTTTTTGTAGCTTGTGAAACTTTCATTAGCGAATTAGCGATTTCTGGTTTTTGCTGTTTTTTTTGTGGGGCTATCAAGAGTTCATAACAATCCACGCTGCCAGTTTTGCCCACACCGATTCCTGCTTGGAAAAAGCACACAAAAAGATTAATATGGATTAGATACTGTAGCTTTGGTTTCCCCTATCAAAAGCTAGACGATGTTCTGATTGGTTGAAGTGTTTTCTAAAAGATACGCTTGATGAAAAGTTATCTGGTCTAAAAGTTATCGTAATCTGGTCCAAAGGCAAGCTACAGTAATCCCTAGGGTGCAGTACTAGCTGAATTTATAGCACACGGTAGCTTTCCGGTAGCTTTCCAGCGTCTTTTAGAAGCTTTCCAGCTTCCCGGTAGCTTTTCAGCGTCTTTTAGAAGCTTTCCAGCTTCCCAGTAGCTTTCCAGCGTCTTTTAGAAGCTTTCCAGCTTCCCGGTAGCTTTTCAGCGTCTTTTAGAAGCTTTCCAGCTTTCCGGTAGCTTTCCAGCGTCTTTTAGAAGCTTTCCAGCTTTACGGTAGCTTTCCAGAATCTTTTAAAAAACACTTTTCAATCAAATGAACCCAGTCTTATCAAAGCCTTTCTTTTAAACGTTTATTTTTCCATTCAGTCATTTATATTATTCTCAATTCTCATTTCTGTGTCGTCCGGTTTTTTTTTATTTTCTCTTGCGCTGCTCGCTAATTTCTTAGCTCCGTTTAGACTTGACATTCTCTTTTTTTAGCCTAAACAAACCTTTCTACTAAAGTTGTAACGAAAACATCTGTCGATCTTTGTTTGCCGTTGGCAATTTAAGGTTTTTCTCAGAGCCAATCCTTTGATTTTGATTATGATCCGATGTAGAATAAAATTGCGCATCGAATGATACCAAAATTGGCTCAAAATGTATTATCCATGCAAAGTTGTTCGCTAAAAACCTAAACCCTGTTCATTATGGGCGGGACTGAACATTTTGCCTCATAACTTTGCATGGATATTACATTTTGAGACAATTTTGGTATCATTCAATGCGCAATTTTATTCTGCATTGAATTATAGTCAAAACCGTTAAAAGGGCTTTGGTTGGTGCTGAGAAAAACACGAAAAACTTTAGATTACCAATGGCAAAAAAAAAGCGATAGATGTTTTCGTTACAAATCGACTTTCTACCTCAAAAGAAAATTCTGTAGTTTTCGAAATTGGGATTCTAATGAGAAAATACGAATTTAAGACTTTCTAGCCGGATTTAGCGATTGTAGGCTTAGCGATTGTAGGCTTAGCGATTGTAGGCTTGGCGATTGCAGGCTTAGCGATTGCAGGCTTAGCGATTGCAGGCTTAGCGATTGCAGGCTTAGCGATTGCAGGCTTAGCGATTTTAGCGCACTTTTTAGAAAAACATTTCAGCTTTGTTTTCTAAAAAGTGTATTTAATTAAAGCTTACGATAGCTATTGTAGTTCGGCTGGAATTTCTCAAATTCTCATTCTCTCATTATCCCAACCAAAAAAACATATTTTTGCATGAAAAATGAGGTGCTAGCAAGTCTCGGTGAAAGTCCACTTTCTTTTTTTTGCAGTTCCGCCGATCCGACGCCGATCCCGAGACCGACGGCGAGACAGGGCACGATGATTGACGGGAGTCCGGCCGTTTCGGTGATCACGTTATCCGGTGGATCGACTGGCGACGAGGACTCTCGAGGAGCGGCTCTTTCTGGGGGAATCTCCCATCATCACCAACACGGGGGATTCCCCCAGATCTCGAACACGGCCGACTTCTCGCAAGCGGCCGCGGTGGCCCTCGCCGCGATGGCGTCTCAAATCCCATCCAGCTCGACGGCGCCTCTCCTGTCCTTGTACGTAATCTCTCTCGCATGCTCGCCTACACTTTGTTTATATTTTTTTCTTGGCTTACCTTTTTCATTTCCGTTCGTCCCTAAATCACTCGCTAATTCACTTAATTGCACGCCGATCCTACGTAGAATAGTGTGCATATGTGTTTCACGAAAAGTTGTAGACGCCTTTTGAGTAATGTCATCTTTTTAGTGACACACAAGCGGCCGCAGCGGCAGTTGCCGCGAGAAAGCCATCGACGAAATGTGCGGTGGTGAGGCCGATGATCGACGTGAAAAGAGAGGTTCGCGATTGGATTAAGCGAGAAAGAAAAAGCCATAGCAAAATCTCAAATACCAAATCTGAAGCTAAATGCGAATTTAGGCTTAGCTTAGAATGAATTGAGCTCAGAAATCCGTTACAAAGCTTCACAAACTTTATAAAACTTGCCACAAATTTGCCCAGTTGTTAGTGATGAATTTGCGGTTCATATGATTCAAGTAGTAAGTACTGATTACTACTGAAAACAACCTAGGTATTATCGTAATATTATATCTAAGTTTTTGGGCTCGATTACAATTTGACGAGCTCAAGCACTTGTGCTAACAAAGGGAGTCTTAGAATTGGCGGCTCTTGGGTAGTTTAGAGAACTTTTGAAAGTTTAGGGGACTCTTGAAAGTCTAGGGGATTTTTGGGAGTTTAGAGAACTTTTGAAAGTTTAGGGGACTTTAAGGAGTTTAGGGGACTTTTGAATGGTTAGTTAAGCTCAAAATTCTTTATAAGTTACTACAGAGACAATAGGCTTGTCTACTTTTGATATACTTTAAAAGAACGCATTCTAGGCTTTCAAATGAGGCAAAATGAAGCTAGATTGGATAGATGAATCCCGAAATTCAAAGGCAAACTCAAGTGACACAAAACCGACTTGTATGCATTCGATTTTCTCGAGACTAGAGTGTGCTCCTTGTTGACAGACAATTTGTCAGACAAATTTGTCTCGACAACTTTTTTGTCGGACAATTGATCCGACAAACTCCGACAACGCGTTTTCTAAAGGGGCGCTTTTAGCAAAGCATAAAGGCTGCGCGGAAAAAAATGTGCAAAATTTTCTTAAAATGTAGTAATGGATAGTTTTATTTAAGGATTTAGGTTTTTTAGGGCGTGGAATTTGTTTTTGAATAGTTCTAGTGCAAATGTGGACAATAAGCCGGAAATTCTTAAATAACATAATTTTAATAGGTTTCTTAACTTTTCCGTTTTAAATATGTTTCTTTAATTTTCCATAGCATTTAAAATTTTTAGTTTTAGCCAACTTTTGACATGAGCTGTGACGATGAAAATGTCTGAAAATGATTTATAAGCGTAGGCAACTATCACTAGACTTTACCCTATTACTGGGAGAAGCATCCATTTTCTCTCACAATCACACGGTTCTCTACGCAGTACTCTAAATAGTAGGAATTATCAATTTAACCTGTTTGAAAAGGAGAAAACAAAGTTATGGCAGAATAACGAAAAGCGCAGTTTTAATGTACTTTGCATTTTGAATTTGCCGCGCGCAAGGGTTACGGTAGCTTATCTTCGCGCGCTTTTAGCGTTGTCTGCGGGGCACACTCTACTCGAGACTGATCTATCCAATCTAGCTCGATTTGGTCTCATTTGAAAGCCTGGAATGTGCTCTTTTAAAGTATATCAAAAGTAGACGAACATATTGTCTCTGTAGTAAGTTATAAAGAATTTAGAGCTTAACTAGCCATTCAAAAGTCCCCTAAACTACCGAAGAGCCGAGTTGAGTCTGTACCAGTCTGTTCATTGTTTAATAGTGTAAGAAAGCATCATTGAAAGTCTTGTTGATGGTCATTGATGCATGAATTCAAGTATAATATAATTGATTCGATTTCCAGGAGGGCGCAATGACCACGGATCAGATGGCGCTTTCTGGAATGCTGAACGCGGCGATTTGGCATCAATGATTCGATGAGAGGGTTGAATGAATCGATCAATCCGATCAATCCGATCAATCTACAGTTTCCCCTCCTCAACAATTCCTATCCACAATGATTCCCCATTTTGTTTGGCTCGTTTTTCTCCCCATTTCTACCACTTCGCAATCCCGTTTTCATTTCTCCAAACTTCTTGAGTTTATCTCGAAAATCTCACTCCCGAGAACTTTGCTTTACCAGCGATTTTGTGGTTTCCCATTTTCTGAATCATTAGGATTTAGAAATTTCTCTGTTTTACTTGTAAATTTTCTTTTAACCATACCATATAGTAGTAATGATTTTATCTTGAAATCATTTTTCATTGAAATCATTCATTTCATTCTACTCCTTAATACAAATGAAGACATTCTCTCTCTCTTGTAGTTATTCCGGCTAACAGGTGCCTCTCTCTGTGTTTTGATAGGAATTTTAGAATTTGTTTGGTAATTTTTTGGTAATTGCTTGGGGAAATGTGGAAGTTTGTTGAAATTGTTGAATTTGTTGTTGAATCATCATTGCAGAATTTCACACAACTTCTACAGCATCCAGCTTTTCTGGGGTTATTTTTGAGTACTGTATGGGAGATGTTTAAACTATTCGATTGATTAGTGCGTTTCTGAAATTCCGAGCTTTAGCCGTAATCCCGAGGTTTAGCCTTCGCCGACTACAGTACTTTCCCCATTTTTAGATTGATTGATGTTTCTCCCGTAATCTTACCAATTGTCGGCCAAGCACCGTACAATTCTGATTGTCGGCCAAGCACCGTACAATTCGGATTGTCGGCCAAGTACTGTACAATTTGGATTGTCGGCCAAGCACCGTACAATTCGGATTATCGGCCAAGCACCGTACAATTCGGATTGTCGGCCAAGTACCTTACAATTCGGATTGTCGGCCAAGCACCGTACAATTCGGATTATCGGCCAAGCACCGTACAATTCGGATTGTCGGCCAAGTACCGTACAATTCGGATTATCGGTCAAGCACCGTACAATTCAGATTGTCGGCCAAGCACCGTACAATTCGAAGGGGCACTTTTTCGAAAACAATCACTCAATAAAAACTCAATCCAAAACTCTTCCCATACAGTACTTTTTTCTATTCTATTCATCCATATGCGTGTGTACTTCTTTAGCTCCTTTTTTTGACTAATTTGACTAATTACCAATTTTAATAGTAAAACCGGTATATTTTACATAGTTTCTCTTTCTCCTTATCGATTCCTGTGTTCGATTTTTGTTCATTTTTTTGGCGATTCTAGATAATATGGATAAAGTACTGTTATATCTCAATTCTATACTATCAGCTATAGCTTTAAGTACGGGAAAAGCAGATATAACTGTAAAGTATCCATTTTTCTCGTTAACCCTATTCCCTTTTCTTTAAAAGATGATTCTCGTCAAAAAAATGGAAATGTTTTCTGTGAAAATACTTGAGACTGTGCTATTACCCAATTTTGCGGGATCTGAACAAGATTTCTGTAGGTTACGGTAGTAGAGTCTAGCTTACAGTAGGATTGCATGCAGTACTAAATAGGTACTGTACTTTGGAGGTACTGTACTTTGGAGGTACTGTACTTTGGAGGTACTGTACTTTGGAGGTACTGTACTTTGGAGGTACTGTACTTTGGAGGTACTGTACTTTGGAGGTACTGTACTTTGGAGGTACTGTACTTTGGAGGTAACTGTACTGTAACTGTATTTGGGCCTAAAAGTAACTATACTTTGGCTCAAATAGTACTGTACTTTGACCCAAAAAGTAACTGTAATTTGGCCTCGAAAATAATTGTACTAAAGAGGTACTGTACTTTGGCTCAAATAGTACTGTACTTTGGCCCAAATAGTAACAGTACTTTGACCCAGAAAGTAACTGTACTTTAAGCTCAAAAGTAACTGTACTTTGGCCAAAAGTAACTGTACTTTGGCCTAGAAAATAACTGTACTTTGGCTCAAATAGTACTGTACTTTGGCCTAGAAAGTAACTGTACTTTGGCTCTAAATCTTACTGTAAGTTTAAAGCGTAAGCCTTACTCTTGTACTAAGAAGGAATTTCTTAATGCGAAGCTAAAAGATTTGCAGGCTATTGGCTAAAAACTTCTTCTGTAAGCTAAAGACTTTTCACTTCAATAAAGCATTTAAAAGCATTCAGCTAAATGCTTTTTTGGTCAATTTATCAACCTACAGTATGCTTTGAAGGGGAATTTATCAACCTACAGTATGCTTTGAAGGGGAATTTATCAACCTACAGTATGCTTTAAATCTCGTTCAGTTTCCCTATTCACTTTCCCCTTAAACTTTGTTGTAAAAACGATAAAACCACATAAAAAAAATGGGTATTCTTGTAGCGTGTCGCTTCTTTTTTTTCGTTCTTTTTCTCTACAAAAACCCGGGATTATGGTAGGAAAATGTAAACAAAATCACCGAAAAAAAAACCCTATTTTTTGGGTTTTAAAATGAATTTCTTTGTTCATTAGTGGATAGCTTTTTAAACAAAAAAAAAATTGATGATTTCCCCATCTCCTACTGGTTTATTTTTGGCCCAAACCCTTTTTTTGTTTGTTTAGATTTCTTTCTTTCAAATGAAATTCAAATGGTGATTCCAAAAAAAGGATTCTGATTCATTTGTGAATTCGTTTTGTGACTTTTTCAATTCGCAAAATTCTCTTTTCTAAAACGATCCATTTCTTCTTTCGCTCTTTGTTGTGTGGATTTTGGTGGATAAAGAAGCTTGTTGTAAACGATTTTTTCGAATACAAAATAGAAAATAGAAACAGAATACAACACTAATATTCGATTGTTTAAAAAGCTCTGAAAAATGCTCTGAAAAATGCTCTGAAAAACGTAACGTAATCGATCGAAAAGAAAATAATGTTCTTCTTTAGAAAATTCTAGATCTCTTTAGAAAACTCTAGAAGACTATATTGTAATTGTGCTACTTAAAATAGAAAATAAAAAAGTCAACTTGAGTGGCACTATTAGAATTCTTAGAATGAAATCAAATCAAGAGCATTAAAGCCTAATCGCCTAAAACTTTACTTTTAGACTCCTCGCAATCTGCCCAAGTTGGATCGTGCAAGAGGTTGAACAACTCTTTCCAAATAACATTCAAATCGTTTAGACGCGATTATGTGACTTTGATGAACCGGAATACAGCTGACAATTGCACTAAGAAGAAATCGAGTAAGGCATGTTTAAATCTACGATATAGGCTGGCGTACAATTATCGAAGCTCGGTGTTTTTTTCGACTGTAACTCAATTCCCTATTATTCAATTCTTCTAATTTCATATTTCTATGAAACTTCAGGCTAATTTGCAACTTTGGGAATTGAAAAAAAAATTGGGAATTGATTTACAGTCGAAAAACTCGAGTTTCCATAATTGTGCACCAAAAGAGCAACGTCTCTTTGTCTGTACTGGCATTTTCACGGCTTTGTTTTGAACAATAAAGCTAAAACTTCTTTAGAAAACTTTAGACTATATTGTAATTGTGCTATTTAAAAGAAAAAATAAAAAAAAGTCAACTTGAGTGGCACTACGGGGGGTCGAACTCGAGTCGCGCGGGTCGTAGACAAGCGCTCTGCCGACCGCTCCACGGCGACGCTAGCCCCTAACATTTATCGGCTTTTTTGGGTACAAAAAGCAAAGCTTTTAAGCAAAGCAAAGCTTAATTGTAGGGATAATTATACGAATAATCTGTACAACATCTTAAGACAATTTGAATCATTTCTTGCCTTCAGGTGAAGAAACTCCATCAACTTTCTCCGATTTATCATCCATCTCCTACTTGGACACAAATTTGGAGTCACTGTGAACTGTCTGCTACATAGAAACATCGACGTGTGTACATGAATATCTTAGGATAGAATAAATATCTTGCCTAATGTCAGCTTTTTGCTGTTAAATGAAGTTTCCAATTGATCAAAATTGGTACTTTTTGAGGTCAATTGGAATGAAAATTTGTAAACCAATGATTTTCGAGGCCGGGGAATCCAAATTCAACATCAACTTTTCAAAGAAAACTCATAAGAAATACATAGAAAGAAATAAGAAATAAATTTTCAATTCTCAGAATATTATCCATATATTGGGTTGATTGAATTGAAAACTGCGGGACTTTGAACTAAAATTTATTCAACATAAAATCATGGGTTAAGAAATGAATAAATTTATACTATGGAGAAAATTCTACGGTTAAGTTGGCTGGTTACAACGGTTGCAAAGTTACAACGAAGAACTCTTGTCCGGGTAATTTTGCCCAACTCTGTATTTGTTCTATTCCACATAGAGTTGTCAAGTACTGTACAATGTGCTACTTGCTATTGGGTTGGTTTTCTGGTTTCTGGTTTCTTTGACATTGTGGCTCTTTTGAGAGCTTAAAAAGTGGTAAACTCTTAGCCAATTTAACCGTAAAACGGCTAGTTTTAAAGGGAAAATGTTCCGTTTTTCTGATATTTCAAAAAATCTCATTCTATTAGGTTGGTCAATTGAAAACTGCGGGGCTTTGAACTAAAATTTGTTCAACATAAAAGCATCAATTCATTCCAAATAATTTCCATTATTATTGACGACTTCTGCCCATTTTACAGGCAATTTGCGGATTCCTCTTTCGTAGTAGGATTTTGGTTTGTGTGTGAGACAGGTGTGAGACTCAAAAATGGAGGACTGGAGATTGGAGGCTGGAGATCCCAGTTTGAGCACTTTCTTCAAAAGAAACCCATTTTGGTGTCAATAGAAAAGTTGTAGAGAATAAAAAATGAGGCTTATAGCCAAATTTCCAGAAAGATACACTTGGTAGTTTCGCTTAAAATGCAAGCTTTGTGAAAATTTGCATTGGCATTCGAAAATTGGCCATTTCTTGAAAACCAGTGTTTGAATCTTTCTGAAAATTTGGATATAAGCTTGATTTTTGATTCTCTACAACTTTTCTATTGACACCAAAGTGGGTTTCTTTTGAAGAAAGTGCTCAAACTATGACAATAGCCCATATG